GAAATAAACTGTATTGGTGAAAGTCTGGATCCGCCACTGGATTTCTCTTGGGGACATCTATCACAATATTTTTTTACAGCCGGTCACTCACTCACTGCCGGTCATTTCGAAAAGTAAACAAAAGGGAAAAAGGTGTATCGCATTATTCAGTTCAAAGAGGAACAATTGAACAAAGGGAACAAGTGAGCTTGGACTCTCAAAACCCAACTATGCAAAGCTACCTACAATACAGCTACTTCTCACACAGGTTGTATCTCACTTTTACTTTTAATTAAGCTTAACCATCAGCCTGTCTGTTTATGCTCCAATGTTCTTGGAAAAATGTTAGAAATAGCACGTACACGTCATCGCTTCTGCATTGCATGCCGTTTATTTATTAATTTTTTTTTTACCGGAACTATTTAGAAAATACAAACGTGAAACCACAAATTGCCTAATACTAGCACTTCGGATTAAAACTCCGCTCTTTTTTTAAACAAAGACGGATTGACACCAAAGACGAACAGGAACAAGAAGATTTCGAGGGATTGACTGTGGAAAGAGTATCCTCGAGTACTTAAGTGCCGCATCGAAACGTCGAAGAATTTAATGAGCGTTCTTTGAGTATTCGTACCTTTTTCAGAAGGTCAAAACAGCTTATCATCANCCTCGAGTACTTAAGTGCCGCATCGAAACGTCGAAGAATTTAATGAGCGTTCTTTGAGTATTCGTACCTTTTTCAGAAGGTCAAAACAGCTTATCATCAAATATTATACCCAATTTGTCCCCGCATATATGTACAAAGGTACAAGAACTTTCAAAATTTCGCAAGGAAACGTCGTTAGTTTGAATATTAAAGCGCGTTTACGTCTGTGGACCTCCTACATGTGCCATAGTACGGATGGAGTAAAGAAAAAAAAGGTAAACTTTGCCTGTTTATTTGTCAGACATTTCTCCCAAAACATTCAGATTTACCTTCTTTTTGTTTCAGATATAGATTGATGAGCGTCCACACTGCGCCAGAAAAATTTGCAAACGCAGCTTTATTTCTACCACTAGACCTACCCTTCACAATAATCCGTCACGAAAACAGAACTTTTCGAAGACACTCTTCAAACCAGAGGAATTTGAAAACGCTGGCTCTTCGTTTTCGTGTGGACGGAAAACATTTTGTAGACGGAGCTTTACGAAAACGATGACGTCACGATAATCATGTGATTTACCTGACCGAGGTTTCCTCAAACACAAATCCAAAATGACCGCTGATTGTTGCGTTTTCAAATTCCTCCGGCGTAGCGTGGACGGATAACATTTGATACATTTTCAGAGTGTAAACACTGTTTTCAAATTTCTCCGGCGCAGTGTG